CTGAATGTCAAAACAACTGGAAATGGTTATGATCTGAAATTTTAATGCCCCTGTCAACCATACCACGAATTATCATTAGCTAGCAACCTCATATGAACTTTTCTATCTCAACATAAGGCGTGCAGATATCATTGTCATAAGCAGGAGACCTTCTCTGGAGTCTGAAAAGGAGAAAAAGGGAGGCTATACCATTCCATGCATCCTTTCTTGATTAATATATTGAACATCATGAAGTGGTGCAATCGAGTTCAATTGGCCCTAAAATTGAAACGGGAGCACAAGCTTATTATTGTCCGAGAAGACTGGATATCCAAACACTTGATAAGCTATAAGATCCATTACCCGTCCTTGTAGGCTTGGCTGATTGCTACAATACTCGTCACGGCTTGGAACAATTGAGTTCATCTGTACCTAGAGCAAAATTTTAAAAGTGACATGCAGATTGCATAGTACTAAGTATGAGTCATGTCGTCATAGAAAATTCATAAATATAGAGGTAAAACAGTCTCAGACCATTCCATGCATAATTGGTTGAGCGCTAAAATATCCATCAAGTGTTAGAGCTCTTGAATTTATCTGATCCTGCAACAAACATTTAAACTCAACTTCAGAAATCTTCATAACTTAAAAAATAAACTTACAACTCAACCTCTTCTCAACACTGTTCTTGTCACTAAACTACATCATACCATCCCTTGCATGCTAACTTGTGATTCATAAGAACAGTCAAGAGCGGGTGCTTCTAAGTTTGAGTGTTCCTACAAGTACGGGACCCACATTAGATGCCTTTTCCTTGCTTGCACAACCTTATAACCTGTATTTCTTCTCATACTGAAAAGAAAGCTCAGCATTATTCAACATTACAAACCATTTGTTGCCAGCTGTCATGCATCCCAATATTTGTGACTTCTTCTCGATGTACCTGGAAAGTATGCAAAGCACATTCCAACACAAGCAACCACATGAAAGATTTAATTACACAACTATTATGATGTATAATAACAACTGAAAATTTGACGTACCTGTCTATTATTTGATACATTATTCTTCATACTTGTCTTGGATGTGCTGTTACTTTGGTGCACTTCTTCATAACTGTGAGAATCTTGAATTGCTGGTGATGGTGGTTCTATTGGGCTTTGGATTGAATTATTGACAATCTCACACCTTGTCAATGCTTCTTCAAGTGCATTGAAGGCAATGTTATAACTCCCTTGAGATAAAGACCCTTCATCACTCAATTTAAAAGCACGATGACACAAATCATTGTACCGTTGCATCCTAGATAGGATTACATCTGCTTGCCTTCTCATTGTTTGCCTACCTTTTGCATCCTTTGTCCAGCGTTTCAATATGTATCGAGATGGTATGCTGTGAACACCAGACATTTGTAGAACAATCATCACATGTCTACAAAGAATACCACTGAATTCAAACAACCGACACAAACAAGATATATCAGATGTTGGTTCATTCCAAACCACAACGAACTCCTGGTTCTCTTCAAAATCTTGAACATTAAAAGTCTTAGTCTCTCCATCTTCACTTTCTATTTTAGGATGACAAGCAACGACTCCCAAAACCTCAACCTGGAATTTCTTGAATATTGCATGTGTGTATAATGTCACCATTTGCTTGCCAAAAGGTGATGGAGATTTTAATCCAGGTTGTTTATGCCAAGCTTCAAAATCTGATTTTGCTTCCTGTTCACATTTTTTCTTGTATAATTGCCTTGTAATGATCTAGAAACTCCTTCAATGTAGTTTTCCTTTGCATATATTTTTCAAAGAAAGAGTTCATACCTTCTGATCGTTGGATTGTAGACATCCCTGCCAGAAAAATGTCTTTCATATACATTGGTACCCATTGTTCTCTGTCTTCATACAATGACTGAAACCACGTATCATTTCTTAAGTTGAACCTATCAGCTATTTTCCACCATCTCTTCTTAAACTGTTCGCTTCTGTACGATTTAAAAATGCACTTATTAAATTTGATCATAAAGTTCTCATGTTGCCTTATCACATGACTGAGTTTCTCAGGTACTTGACTAATTATGTGCCACAGGCAAAAACAGTGACGAGAACCAGCAAAGACTTCTGCAATAACTTCTTTAAGCATTTTGTCTTGATCAGAAAGTATAACTGTCGGAGGACACCAACTCATCGCTCGAAGCCAAGCCCGCATAAGCCAAGTATATGCTAATTTGGCATCATCCACGATTAATGCACATCCAAGCAGCAGAAACTGAACATGATGGTTAACACCAATAATAGGAATAATTGGTAATTTGTAATCATGCTTAATATATGTTGTATCAAAAAATACTACATCACCAAAATCATTGTAATCAAGCCTACTTTTTGCATCAATCCAGAAAACATTTCTTAATCGTTGCTCTTCATTCAGATCCACTGCATAAAAGAAGTTAGGATTCTCATCTTGCATGCACATAAAAAAGTCGAGCATAACTTGAGCATCACCTTCCTCTAAGGACAAGTGCTGGGTGTTATATTCTTGATTCATGACCCTAGCCTTCTGTTTCTCAAGTTTCTTGTACCCACCTGACTGCCTGGACATAGAGACATACATTTTTCTTGTTCTTTGATTAGCATGTAAAGCATCAATGTTCCTATTACCTAGATCCAAATTCCTATGACCCCTGAAGAAATAGGCCTGAGTTGGGAAAATTTCATGGTTATGGTCCTTTATAAAGGTACGAATTATCCATCTCCCATCTTGCCTTCTCTTAACATGCATGCATGCCTGGCAATCAGTTTTTGACCAAGATCGATTAATTCTACCTCGTTTTCGCTTGATGGAAATGTTTGTTGAACTGTCTATACTTGGAATAGGTTCTATAGCTTCAGCTGAACTACTTTCTCG